AGTAACAGGTATAATCTTTTACTAAATGAAATTAGAAGGACGAGTCACTGGGACCCACCATCAAAAGGGCAAAAGGACATGTGCAGTCTAGTAAGATGTGTATACATACACATCATGCATTATTGAACTATGTGTGTATATAGATCTATCAAGTATTATTGTTATTTATATTGTATAGATATTGATGTACGTAAGATTAATGATGAAGTACAAGAATCACAGACTGATAAACTGCTTGGTAAGACTAAGAGAGCATATAGTGTTATTATTATTTATATACATACATGTAGATATTAGGGATCTTGCTACAGTCCTTCAAGAATTAACATCAAATCATCAGTTTGATTACAGTGATTGGTATCAGTTGGGTCTGTACTTAGGATTATATGAGCGTACACTAAAAGCAATTGAAGAAGAAAGTAAAGGAAAGTTAAAGAAGTGTCTAATAGAGTGTCTATCTTCCTGGCTAAAGGGAGAGGATGGAGTAAGAGAGACAAGAGGAGGTGGATCAAACTGGATATCATTAGTAGCAGCACTAGATGCAATGGGAGAGAGGGAGGTTGCTAATGACATTAGAATAAAGTACTTGCAATGAACTAACTTGTAATTTCACTCTGTTTGGATGTTAAATTTATTCAACGAGTGCAAATTATTAGTATAATAACGTGTTTACACATTTACAACGTGTTTAAGTATCCATGATTTAAAATTAGGAGTCCAGAAGTGCTTTCTTGTCATTACCATAGGAATATTAGCAGACCATTTAGGACACATTGGGAGATTGTGCATGTATATGCCAGCAATTGTTTTGTACTGAGTGTTTTATGATTTTGTAAATGTCTTCAGTGTTTTAGAACCAAGAGCCAGACCAGTTTGGTCTGACTGGCAGGACTACAAGACTGAGTGCATTCCTTCAGCTCAGATAAATTCTTAGCTCCAGTACACCATTGGTACTCACTGTTTTATGTACTGGGCAACTTTGCATCAGTCACTGGTTTCCATATAGCCCCTACAACAGCCTTACAACAATGTTGCAACAATTATGGAGTTAGAACCCAGGTCTATCTCTACAACAGTTGTATGCTAACCACAAAATCCATACAACAGCCATATATGGAAACCAGGCCTTAACTGAGCCACAACCTATCTATCTAGTTTTGAGTGGGCGTAAAATTTAATTATTATGCATTGAACTGCTGACTAGGCAGCTTTTGGGGATTTTGAGTGGGTGTAGAGTTAAATCAACTGAGATAGGTTTAATGACAGACTACATATCTAGACCTGTTGAGAAAGAAGTAAGGAGAAGTATTACTATTATATATTTTCTTTATTTATCTCCAGGTTAGAGTTTTTTAAAGATAATTTTGTGGGATCTGTTCCATCTCTTTTGGTATGAAGAATGCCATTAAGGAAGTGTCTAGAGCTCCGGTAACCGGACACAGTATGCAGTGCTAGAGCTCCGGTAATAGGGGCGTCGCCCCTATATACTGGGGCTACGCCCCAGTATTAATAATACACTAATTTATATTATAGAAACCGAGTATAAATACAACAACCAGCGTTGATGATGCAGCAGGGTCATGGTGGTGCAGTGGAGAGGCTGGTGTGGATTGCACGGATAA